AACATATGGAGGGTAAAGACAAATGTACGGAAGCTATCACATGGTAAACATATGGAAGGTAAAGACAAATGTATGGAAGCTATCAAATGATAAACATATGGATGATGGAGACAAATGTATGGAAGCTATCACATTGTAAACATATGGAGGGTAAAGACAAATGTACGGAAGCTATCACATGGTAAACATATGGAAGGTAAAGACAAATGTATGGAAGCTATCAAATGATAAACATATGGAAGGTAAAGACAAATGTATGGAAGCTATCAAATGATAAACATATGGAAGGTAAAGACAAATGTATGGAAGCTATCACATGATAAACGTATGGAAGGTAAAGACAAATGTATGGAAGCTATCACATGATAAACGTATGGAAGGTAAAGACAAATGTATGGAAGCTATCACATTGTAAACATATGGAACCTTGAAGCATGATAAGATAAATATTTGTAAGTTGAGAAAATATAGTACACAATAAACGTGGAATTTATGAAAGTAAAATATATATAAGGAATGAAGTATGACAGGATAAATGTAATTAAATTCTGAAACACACGCTATAGGATTAGAATACTGCGTAAAGAGTAAAATTACCTGAAAATAACTAACAGACGGCTACGTCTCTCGCTGATTTCCAAGTAAACACCATAACTATCAACAACATTATATATACCAGAACCCTGCGTGGCCTAATAGTCATTGGTTTGGGCTGCGATATGTGAAGTTGTGTTCACGACTACTGATAATCTTCATCTCTTGTTAAGTGAGAAATTAAACATAGAAATACTAAAAACGTAATGGAATTAAAAACATTAACATAACTCTTCTTTCGTACGGGAACCCGATCATGGCCTAATGGTTGGCGTAGCCTCTTACAAAAAAGTTACACGAATCCTCTCGGAAGTATAATATCAGTAACATAAGGACTAAACAGGTAAAATAAGTTGTATCTATGTCTTCTTATTCTATGATAATGATGCGGCAAACCGCGAGTTCCGGCTTAACTGATGATCAGATGTTTGATACTTAAGCTAATGTTCAGTAATTTACATGATTCACTACATTTTGAAAACACTCTAAAAGTTTTCAGCATGACTAAAACTATTTTGAAATTCAAGTGGAACTAAAATCATCATTGCAAATTCTCAAGTAACTTATTGGGATGCAATTTTTTTTTTATGTTCCACAATCTACGAAAACAATAGATTGTTTCACTTATACACGATCTGGTAAAATAGTTCAGGTTATCATCATCCATAATTTTGGTGATAACGTTTTACTAGCCACGATCCACCAGTATTACCTGCAAAGTGTTTTCTGAAGGGATTTTTAAAATATAGAATGTGTAGAACATCTCCGATCACGAAACATGTAATTCACGTGTCAAGAAATAATTGCAGGAGAGAAGCTATTAACAATTATTGATATTAAAATGTGCTCACATACAATTTTTTTTTCTTTCGAAAATATAATATTACTGGTGTTCTAAAAAGAGATACCTCTCTTATTGGGGTCTGGCGTGGCAGGACCATGAATCTTCTGATTTATGGTTTGCGACTCGTTGCTGCTAAAACGCATTCAGCACTTTGGAACCGTGGTTGATGCTATATATATATATATACAATACATAACAGTCAAAAACAACTATTCAATCAGACAAAATTAGCCGAAAAGTTGGCGGAAGGTGCTGTTAACATACTACCTTCCCTCTAATTTATCATCCAAAATTAAGGACAACTTTACACAGATAGCCCGTATGTAGTTTTGCGCAAAACTCTAAAACAAAGAAACCTTTCACATGAGGAATGATAATAATAATAATAATAACCTGCCCCCCAGTGCAACGCTAGAAACCGAGTTTCGATACCCGAAGTGGGCAATGCACAGATAGCCCATTGTGTAGCTTTGTGCATAACTTAAAACAAACAATAATAAAACTCCTAGACAAGCCACACTAACTTTTAAAGGTCAGTCTTAACAAGAAGGATATACCACATGCTTGGATTTATTTATTTTTTAATCAATGAAAGAACCTAGTTGAATTCCAAGTAACTAACCTGATGGTCAGTAAATAGCTGACGAATTTTGTAAAAGAAACAAAAAAGATTAAACGAATTTTGTAAACGCAAGATGACCATGTACTCATAATTTATTACATAATTGCGTAGTGTTAACAAACTAGCATATTGATCTGAAGATCTAAGGCACGCGCCGCAATGTCGCTGAACAAACTCGACACATTCAGCTATGTATGCGTTATAAGAGTGATAATCAATCTCGTTATTCGTTTAAACATCGAACAAAGCCACTGTGGCTATAGGTGCTGCTGGTTGACGTTGTTCTACCTGGCTATTGATTTGTTTTTGAGTAACTTTTTCTTGAGCTTCAAGGTGAAATTTATTATCAAACCCAATGAATTGCTATGAGATAAAAACCTCCGCTTATGCAGGTTTAACCATAGGTATCTTACAAATGAAAGAGCATTTTGAAGAGCAATATCTTCATTATTCAAGAAATGGCTAGTTGAGATATTTATACAGTTATTTTGATGTAAGATATACATATATATATTAGGGGCAACATTTCAGATTTCAGCAGGGGTCAACATTGAGATTTTTGAGAGAATTTTATGCGATTATTTACTATACTTATTTATACATATAAAAATCAAGTTGATGTAAGATATACATATATATATTAGGGGCAACATTTCAGATTTCAGCAGGGGTCAACATTGAGATTTTTGAGAGAATTTTATGCGATTATTTACTATACTTATTTATACATATAAAAATCAAGTTGGGATCGCGCTTATAAACGATTTTGTGGCTTGTAGGCTCAGGTTGGGAAATCGTTGAATGAAAGCGGTTGCACAAACAACACATTTTAGACACGTGGATTATTTCTAAAATTAAAAAGTGGTATGAAACACGGGGGGAGGAACAACTTTCTCTCTGCTCTCCTCAAATGGAGCCCCTAATATATATATATATTGAATTTCTTTAACAGCTTGAAGGAAATGAATGAACACAATCAACATATTTTATTTTTGTGAGTAATCCGTTTTGTTTATACTTATTTTGAAAATACAATTGACTAAGTTATGTCACTGGTTATAACACGTCAGTATAATATATGTTCGAAAAGAGCTAGAACAAATTTTGGATAAAAGAGACTTGAACATGTCTTTTTTTTTACTTCAAAAATAACTTTATCTCGAAAATGACGAGAGAAAACGTTTATATAAAACAATAATTAATAGACAAAATGCTTTAAGGTGTATTATTTTAACTTGTAAAGATGTAACGTATAACCGATGTCACAAATCTAAACTGAAACAATGAAGGCTTTCTGAGGAAAGTGTGTTTCCGTATTAGAAAGGTCTGCTTGAAAATTTATGTTATTGGTATACGTTGTTTGTAATCATTCATAGAGTGGATTGGCTGAAACTCTGAAACTAATATTAAATTCGGCCAAGTACAATGAATGTAATATTGTCTGTAGTCCAATACTTATTAGTGTACTGTCAAGGATCTTTGATGCGAAGATTTAAAACACACCACAAACCTAATCTTCAAGCATTTCTTTGATACTACTCTGGAAAATCAAAACTATTATTTCATAGAACTTTGCCGAATATCTTTTGAATATTATCTAACAGAGGAGACTAATAAATTTATAGGATGTTCCAGAGGGTGTGAAGGCTAATGTTGCACATTTCAGGTAGTGACATTTTAGATAGTCGTATGCACACACGTAACTATTTTGCCATTTTACGGCTTCTGCATCAAATTTTGTTTCTCAGATTTAATGTGCTTTAAACAAGTTTATTTTAAATGTGTCTTTTTTTTTTACTTATGTGCTAAATTTCTTCTGCAAATCGAATCAACAACATTTTTGTCATATTTTTTGGCCTATTAACTCGGAAATGTATTCATGGTAATTAACACTTCCATATTTATACAAATTTCCTACGTTTATCCTGTGATATTTGTCACACACCTCATTCACTAATTGTACAAGATGTAATTATGTTCCATATTTTATCCTATATTACCTTTTTTGAGCATTGATACCTCTAATATATAATACTTTCCATAGGTTATATATTTATTTATTCCATAAATATCTTTCACTGATTATATAAGATGTAATTATGTTCCATATTTTATCCTATATTACCTTTTTTTGAGTATTGATACCTCTAATATATAATACTTTTAATAGGTTATATATTTATTTATTCCATAAATATCCTTCACTGATTATATACTACGTCCTTCAGTATTTTCATGTGATGCATACATTTTACATTACATAAAAGTAAACATAGTTGAAACTGATTTTTCTGTAGACAACGTGTATTATAATCTTAGTTACTGTACGGTAAATCTATAGTCCACTAACGTTGTGCATTACCATTCAACAAACGCAGAGTTTCCACGGAAGAATTACGAAACGCTTCCTCACAGTGAGTTCTCTTTTGAACTTCCACCTGGAACTGTTCGTGTAACCGTCGTCGAGTTCTACGTTCTTTCTTCAGTCTCTTCTGGTAAATGACTAGGACGAGAAAAAAAGAAGACGACAACTTCGCTGTAGCAATATGGTAATAAATATACACGCGTATCTAGTTTCAAGCACGATAACTCGAAAACATGTCAAAAATGATACTTAACTATTTCGAAACTTTTCTTTTTTACTTTGCTGTTAATCTTTACTAGTATTTTCATTTTACTTTAGTGATAAATATGTCTTTTTTTAAAAAAATATCACATCTATGACGCATGAAGTATTCCATTATATTAAAGGTTAGGTAGATTTCTGATACTATCGTGTTATACGACGAAATTTCTAGTAGTGAAAAGCTACTTTTCCTATAACAACTTTCAAGTATCTCCAATCAACTTCAAGACACTTAACGAGCGGCGAGGTGTGGCAAACATTGTTTAGATAATGCACGTGCTTGTGGATGATAGCTGGAGCTTTCTTACAGTCGAGAACTGTGCCGAGAAGTTCGTGATGCACGTAACTTACAACACCGTAGAGCCGTAACTAACCCACCAAAGTTGGTGTGTCTCGATCATTTATGTAACAGGAACCAATTTTTATCTACGACGTTACTTAGTATTTGTATTTGTATTTTATGACCGATAATTCAGAAATAACGAGGCCTTTCATAAGAGACTTAGTAGTTGGAAAATGATAGTCATTTGTTTTGTTTCTAAATATTCCAATGTCAAAGAGTTAGTTAAAACTTGATCAGTTGTCTTGTATCAAGAAAACGTTGCGACATTTCATGTGCGTGCTACTGTCGCTCATATTTAAATATAAGCATTCAATTGCTTCTAAAAAAAATCCAATAAACATTCATATAAAAACAAATAAGCATAATTTTTAGAAACGAGTGTAAACACCAGGATACGCACTTTGATGTTGCACCGTGTCAAAAACCACCAATTGTTATAATGTTATCTCGCTTGTTTCTACCTTGTTTCTGTAATTTTGGTGCTCCCATTCCTACTTCCTAATTTTTTTATTTAAATATTGTTTACACTTGTCTCATAGCTTTTTGGTACTAAGTCTCGAGAGTGACTGTGTTCTTGGCCTATCCTTCTCGTAGCTTTTCTTGGTGTTAAGTCTTGAGAGTGACTGGACTCTAGGCTTATCCTTCGCGTGGCTTATCTCAGAGCTATTTCTCGACATTTCCTGGCTTTTGCTGATATTGTCGTTATAGTTTTTCTTCCATCTAGTCAGGGTGGCAGCTTTTTCTTTGGTTGGATTAATGACTGACGCTTGTTTTGTATATTCAGCATTGTTGTTTCTTACCTTCTCTCTGTTCTTGCAGTAATAGTCTCTTCGCTGGGAAAAATATTTTTCAAGGTTATAACATAAGATTTCCTCCTTTTCTCTTGTTTTGTTTTCCTTGAAAAGCATATTTTAAAAATCACACTGTTTCAAGTACAACCTGGATGTCAAGAGGTCACACTTAGCTTGAAAACAATGCAAAGGTAAATCATACAACTTAGTCTTGTTTTCAGTCCAGAGCACTCGAGCTAAGCCGTGTCAGACTTATATGTTTGTCCTCACGTAGGAGACTCACGTCTTTAGTCACCGACTGCTATGATAGAATTGCTTTGTCCAGCACAGAACCTTCGAGTGAGATGTATAGAACTGAAAACTTCGCTTTCAAAGGTTAGATCGTAGTTAGAACCTAGATCTAGAGAATTTACTTAGTCCACGTTTTTTTATCTAGCTGATACAACTGCACGCTGATCACATTAGTGACAAAAAAAAAAAAGATGGCAGACAACACTTTATAGGTGTAGAAATGATGGTTTTGATCAACGGTAAGAAGTATGAGTGATGAAAACAACCACTATAGAAGACAGTTAATGACTGGTTTTATTACTGGAACCACTCTAAGTGTTGACTTTAGAGGCTTTAGCTACAATTCATGGCCCGGCATGGTCAGGTGGTTAGGGTGCTTGACTCGCAATCTGAGGGTCGCAGATTCGAATTCCCGTCTCACCAAACATGATCGCCCTTTCAGCCGTGGGGGCGTTATAATGTGACGGTCAATCCCACTATTCGTTGGTAAAAGATTAGCCCAAGAGTTGGCGGTGGTTGGTGATGACTAGCTGCCTTCCCTCTAGTCTTACAATTCTAAATTAGGGACGGCTAGCGCAGATAGCCCTCGTGTAGCTTTGCGCAAAATTAAAAAAACAAACAAATAAACAATCCTTTCTGTCTCCATATAAGCCCATACAGCCTTAATAGTATTCATATTGTCAAGCCATTGTTGCAAGCCTTTCACTCGTTTTTGTTTCCTTTCTAGTTATTATTTCACCATTTCCTCGTGCTTGGAATCATAGTTTTTCCAGAAGGAATGACATGATTGATAATAATCTACTTGTATCTATCAATAGTCAGCATACCATCAGTTTCATCAATATCTCCAATACAAGTGGATGAGATGAGCCCACAGTTATAATGGTCTCTCAACCTGTTTCTATGTAGATGTTACACGTTGATCGTGATACTTTTTACCGTGCAGCAAACTATTGTTTATTGTCGCCATACAATCTGTAAAAAGACCATTGTCCTCCAGCTTTGTTTATCCCATTGTTTGAAATATGATACCCATTTCAGACATTTATTTTGGTTACTTCTCATAAACAGTGGTTTTTCAGCAGCTATGCATTAATAGAGGTAACTTCAGGCTAAAGTGAACCTTACTGTTTCGAAGGTAACATAATTTGATTTCATATTGTAGAGTGGAGAGCAATGCCATAATATTTAAATTTTATACTCATTTATTCACAGTTTCCATACATATTTTTAATGTTGTATAGAGTCATGAAAAACTAACAGGATATTCAACAAATTCAGGGGGAAGGACAAATGCTAGAGACGCTGTTTATATCAGTAAACGTTACGAGTATAGATGAAGATAGAAATATTGAATTTTTGTTGGTTTCAGCTGGTAAATTTCGCTAGTTCAGGTTAGGAACCAAAGAAAGGACAATTTACATTGTTTGTTGATTGATTTTATTTTCGTAGTTTGCAAGTTACTGTAAATTTACAATTTTAGTTATGTGCTGTAAAACTAATGTGTCTTAAGAAGCCGTTTTCTGTTGCTTATAAAGTTCAAAATTGTACACAATTTAGAAATAAAGTTATTAAAACGTTGTACTAACGTCTAATTTTTTGTTCTTCGAGAAGCTGCTTCTCTAGATTGTCCCGAAGTTCCTTTTCTCTAACAATCTCCATTTTCAATTCAGCTTTAAAAATAAAATACACATTAGGATCTCAAGTTTTGTTTTAACACAACTTATCAAAACATTAGGCTTACACAAAATGTAATACAATAATAAATTGAGATTCAAAAGAACTAAATACATTAAAAAGTTTTAAAACAATCTGTAAACATGTCAATGTAGAACAAGACTCAAATATGTTATAAAAATAGGATTTTTAAAATATAACTCAGCTTCAGACATCATAAAACAATACGGCTTAAGTTATTGCTTTAAATATTGTTTTGTTTCAGTCAAGGTATAAATTAATTTAAGATTTACTTGTTAGAGAAGAAAATAGTAAACAGATGTAAGATGTGTACCGCTCTATATCTATTCTGAGTCAAAATACATAATTAATAGGTATTTTGAAAAGTCACATATCGCATGTTGAGTCGCACTGACAGTCAGAAAAGAAAATCATCAACTCGGTGTTGTTCTTGGAGTTCTTTAAATAACTTCCCAAGGTATGAGGGTTAGTAGCATTTTATAAGAAGAAATTACGTATAATATTCAGGGGTTTGTTATCACAGATGCGAGCTGTGACACCATATCGACACGCTCACATCTGTATAGTTGATTCACATTAAATTCCCGACCTTGCGACAGTGCAATGTCACAGCACCATCTGAGGAAGGGTATTCGTTCAACGGTACAACAAAGTCGAAGTCCAACAAATTCACAGATGTGGGAAACGTTACCAGCAATGAAAAATTAGTACACCGAATGACGACGTAAACTACGTAAATATCATTCCACCAAATGTACGACTGTTGCAACCATTCTAAAAGTTTACAAATTTATTGTTCCGGGTCCTCTATCCGCCTACCCAGAAAGTACTTGCTAATACGTTGCACACCTCTCAAAATAATTTATAAGGAGCTTGTTCGTGTAAGAAGCACAAACTACGATTGAACAAGCTTTCCTCCGATACATTGTCGAGAAAAAACGAATAGCTGCAGAAAACTTTATGGAAAATACCTTGCACAAAAGAGATGGAAATTTGTTACAACATCGGAAAAGACCTGAGAATTTTTGAACGATTGCAATAAAAAACTGACGATTTGACTATTTGGCCTCCTAGTTCATAGTACTTTATTTACTTTTTGTCGATTGACATTAACTGAAATTCCCGAGGTTGCGATCACCCCACCCCCACGTAGCTGGAAAGCCAATCGGTACGCATGATTAACCCATATTTATGGTTCTAGGTAATTTCACTCCCTATGTCAAAAAAAAAAGAACATTAAAAGTGACATATATTAAAAAAAATCTATATTAAAAATGACATTTATTAAAGATTACTAAAAGTGATATGCAGGTTATGAGCTACTGCTCTTAAAAAGTCAATCTTGTTATCTGGATTATTTCTAGCAAGAAGAACGTCCAGCCATTTGTTCATATCTTTATACTTCTTTTTGTAGTTATTGTCACCCCGACCAAACTGAACGTTCTTCAATTGTGCCAAGCATTCTTCTTTCGTTAGAGTTGAAATTAATTTCTAAAGATTGGAACGGACTAGGCCTCACCGATAAGTGACACCACTTTCATGTCACTGATGGTGCCATCTTCTGTAAGTTTAAAATTTTAAAATTAAAACGCTTTCTTAAACTAGATTTTAAAACTACTTTAATTATATTTTCAATTTTAAACTACTTAAATCAAATATTAATTTATATTAAATTTATTACTATTACTACAATGTGTCACTTTTAATGTCCATATTTCTTTTTTGACATGGGGAGTGAAATTACCGGTCACCCATACTTACAACTTACCTTTTTCAAGGTTCACTTGTCTATCTTGGTGCCTAGCGTTGTCTGCCGCAACCTTTAAAAGTCCTTGAATATTTCTTAGCAAAGTTTCTATAGAAGACTCGCCTGGTCCCGAAGGAAAACCACTGGCTACTGGAATAATAAAGTCATATTGAGAAAAGTGGTCTCTACTGCTGACATCGGGACTATCAATGTAATCTGAAAAACGAATAAAATCAAATTTACTAAACACATGTGCTCCGAAACCCTCCCTCCCTCTCTCAAAAATAACACTGTGAGGTTTACTGAAAATACTGTCAATACAATAAGTATATATTGTATAATGGTACTATCCATATTAAGGAAGTGGTCGATAACATACACAAATACATGTAGGTAGAGAAAGTAGACAATACGTCAAAGGTAGTTGATACTACACAGAATATTAACCCTTGACTACATGAGTGGGGTTTATCTGACGCCAAGCGATTTTATTTTTATAATAACTTATTTTATAATGATATTGATATGTTTTATCTCATGCTAGAGGAAACTTTGAATACAATAATTGAATTTTTATGCAAATTAATTTTTTTCTGTAAAAACACACTTGGACATCAGAGCAACCTCACCAAAAATCACTCTAGTAGTTAAGAACTAAATTAGCAGATATAATAGGTAACACGTGAAGCAGGTGTAATAGATAACACGTTAAATAACTGGGTATTACATTCCACACTAAGTGAGTGAAGATGGTAAATAATACATTAACTACGTGTTAACTGTGTTGTCAGATTACACAGTAAGAAAGTGCAACTGGTATTACGTCAAGCATAGGTGGTAGGAAATAAGTTCATTTAGTAAACATCATATTGTTGTGTCAGCGAGGTCACGTGACTAGTATACCGCCACGTTCTTCTCGACTCTTCGTGAATTGTTGGGAGACTACTAGATTGGGGGCAGCTGGTATATATAAGATGGTCACAACGTGATGGAACAATGTATGTGTAATTGAACTGAGTGTTGTTGAAGTCGAGCGCGTGGGACGTTCGTGGTGAATTATAGCATTTGTTATAGCGCGACTGTTGAAATTAAATGTATCGGAAAGTTGTATTCAGAAACAATAAACCAGTTTTATTTAAGAAAGGACTTGTGTCGCTAAAGTTTCGTCGGAACAAATTTACGGAAAATTAATTAACGAACGGAGACGTAACAATATAAACTATGGAATACATTGAACATAGTAGACGACACATAATGGAATCAGTAGATAACATATTAAGAAAGCGGAATCGGTATTTAAGACGCATTAATTATAGAAAGGCAGAAAACAGTAAGAAAGCTGAATTTATAAATAGTGCATAAATAAAAGAAATGATTAAGTATACGCTGAATTAATAGATATTATTAGCGTTATTGAGTAAGTGAACAAGGAAAATTATTGTAAGCAGGGATGATAAAGTATTCAGTAAAAATCAGGATGTATAAAAACAAGGGAAGCATTAAACTCAGCGAAAAAAAAAGAGGAACTGAAAAAGAACAACTCACTGTATAAACAGAGACTATAGTAAGTTAAAGAAGAAGAACTAACAGATAACGCATTAAATAAGTAGATATGGTATAGTTTATTGAGTGAAATAAAGATGATATAAATGACATCAAGGTAAGGATGGTAGATGATATATTAATTAAATAAATATAGTTAGCATATAACATATTATCCAAGTAGAAATGCTAATTACCTAACTTAAAAAAAATATGAATGGTAGTAAAATGCAACATATATAATTAGATATTAATTTTTTAAAAATATGAATGGTAGAAAAATACAACATATATAATTAGAGATTAATTTAAAAAAGGTATGAATGGTAGAAAAATACAACATATATAATTACAGATTAATTTATAAAAGTTATGATTGGTAGAAAAATACAACATATATAATTAGATATTAATTTTAAAAAATATGACTGGAAAAATATAGCATATATAATTAGAGATTAATTTAAAAAATTATGAATGGTAAAAAAATACAACATATACAATTAGAGATTAATTTAACAATAATTATGAATGGTAGAAAAATACAACATATATAATTAGAAATTAATTTAAAAAAGGTATGAATGGTAGAAAAATACAACATATATAATTAGAGATTAATTTATAAAAGTTATGATTGGTAGAAAAATACAACATATATAATTAGATATTAATTTAAAAAATTATGACTGGAAAAATATAACATATATAATTAGAGATTAATTTCAAAAATTATGAATGGTAAAAAAATACAACATATATAATTAGAGATTAATTTAACAATAATTATGAATGGTAGAAAAATACAACACATATAATTAGAGATTACTTATATCAAACCTTCATTTTTTTGAAACTCGTAATCATCGTCACTGTAAATATCATCGTCGTCTTTGTAGTCGTCACTGTACTTCAAGTCGTTCTTCCTGCCTGTGTTTTCTTCTTCTAGCCCGCTGGTCTGGGAAAGATTGAGTCCGGAAAGATGAGCGTTACCAGTAGCTCCTTTAAAGAATAGAAACCTTTAAGTCATATCCGCAACAAAATACGTAGATCTTAATAAAATGTTGATGTAACATTGCCTCTGCTGCTGGCGACGAAGCAAAGGCAAATGGAAGGAATGAAAATACAAGGACTGTTTAAACACATTCGATTCTGTATTTTATCAGATTTAGCCAACATTTTTATTTTATTGTTACCCGATAAATAATTTAAAAGGGATAATGTCTACAAAGTATATAGTTCATTGTGTTATTTAGACCCAGAATACTTTATATTAACTACCTACAGTGTTATCTTTGAAATAAACGAATATTAAAGTAAATATAAAAAGATTTATAAAAGGTAGGAACAACAAAGATGTTGTGTTTGGTATAGGAGAATGTGCTGCTTTCGTTTCGCCATCTTTGATCTATAATCTATAGGATGTGGGCCGAGTGTGGCCTACTAGTTGACGTGCTCGGTCTGTAAATCGGAGTATTTACGGTTCCTGTCCCGTTGCTACAAAAACGAGCTTCACACTTAGAGGCCGTGAGTGAAGTTAAAATGTTGGCGACGAGTGCTGTTTATTAGCAGCTTTTCGTTTAGCCTATTAGTTCAAAATTAAGGACGGCTATGGGCACATAGCCTTTCTCAAACTACTCAATAAATTCAGCTGAAGCTTTAAGTTACAGTTAGCTGTTCAACGTGTAACGAAACTGGCAGAGGTGATGTCGTGTTTAACTGGTGACAAACAAAGGAATGAACAAAGTACATTTTACTATATTTTGAATTGTCTAGAGATACAACATTATTCAATTAAAATTAAGTAAGACAGAAATGTTAAAGTTGTGAGAAGTTGCACTAAACATACACACAAATGTTTCTAACAGACTTAAATAAAAATTGTTTCACCGAGTGTTTCACAAATAAGCAGTTTTTGTGAAATAATTTAGAAAAACTTATATCTTTGCTACCCAATGGTTCAGCGATAACCCTGCGGGCTTACAACGCTAAAAATCGGGTTTCGATATTTGTGGGGAAGGGGGGGGGGGAGAACACAGGTAGCTCATTATGTAGCTTTGCGCTTAACAACAACCAAATCAGCTTATATTATAGATATCGATAACAATGTTATTTTTCTCAGACTTTAAGAATGTAACAAGGTCCTAGTAACCAAAGTTACAGACGGAACCTATAGTACCACAGGTACACATTTACCAGTGAAATTTACTACTCATAATTATGACTCCCTTTGTGGGAATATAGTAGATGAAGGTTATTAATAATATCCTTATTAACTTTTGAACCAAGTACGCCTAATTAGTGTACCGGATGAATAGCTCATGAGTAAAATTGCTAATAAAAAGTAGCTAATAACGGTACATATGTGGTTCTACGTGTGGCTATGCTAACAATACCTCTATAAATGTGTTACATCACACCTTCCACTTTCTCACAGAAACACGTTTTATTACTCTACTTTTTAAGTTTACCGTTTTGGCTTTGCCCATTATAAGCATAAAAACGTGATTTTAGTTACAGTAAAATCTAATAACTTTTCTACGGGTTGGCAAATTTTAACTTCTTTCTTTTGTGTTATGAAGAAATTATCCACTTTGCTGTTTAAATCCCAACTCTCCACATTTATTTAATGAATTTCACTCTTAACTCCACACGGAGTCAAACTGTGAAACTACAGAGCGCTTCCTTCGGCGGGACGCGACATTTTATTCAAGGTTTAAATGTGTGATTCTTTAAAGAATTTAGTATATTAACTGTAAATGTTTTAAGTTTATGATGCGATTATATGAAATAATCATTTAGTCGTTGCCCTATAGTTTCTTATGTGATTTAATATAATCTCTCGGAGAACCACATGAACAGATATTCTAGATTTATTTTAATATAATCACATAGTTTCGTTTATTACAATTTTTCAATAAACCATTTAAGCACAGTGACTACATTTTATTTCAAACAATTTAATACAATCTCTCGGCAAAATTATGTGATTATATTAAAATAAATCTAATAATCACATAATTTTGTTTAATACAATCTCTCGGAGAACCACATGGACAGTGATTCTTTAAAATAAATCTAGAATCACTGTTCAATTAGGGACGGCAAGCGCAGGTATCCCTCGAGTAGCTATGCGCGACATTCAACAAACAACAATGAGTTCAATGAACCCTTTATACATACACGTCCATGTGGAATTACTGTAGAATTATTTTACATGATATTTATGACATTCTTCTTTGGGAATAAAGAATTAAATCTAATTACCGGATTATTTCAAAGCCATGAGTAACACCACTGTTTACATCTTATAGCTGTAATGTGTGTTCAATTTTTGGCTGGTAGCATTTCATAACATAAACAATGCTTACTATGTCAAGCACAGCAGAAGTATTTTTTGATAGATATTACTACCTTTGACATAAGTGGCATTCGTGCTTATTTACTTACCACTGAAATGAATGCCAATATCGCTTATAAACTTATCTTCAAAAGTGTGACACCCTGACTTTGAAATTTACCGTTTACATGTGTGGCATTGTAGCTTATAAATCTTCCTTTGATATGATTGGCATTCTTAACCACTGACATTAGTAATATACACAGTGCTTGAGTACATTATATTGAAACAGTTTTGAATATGCAAATTAGCAAACTCGGGTCACATGAAGAGTACAGCCAATATAAAGTCGCAGTGGAATGGAATGTATCAGAACTACATTTCGACATTTTGGGTGTTACGTAAGTAGTTTGATGCCAGTGAAAACTTGTCGCTTTTGGTAAGGGCATGTATGTAATGACATTGGAAAACAAAGGAATATGAATCAACTTGAGGAATCAGTACCACCCAGAAAGAGGCCCGAGACAAGTCGTATCCCCTTCGTGATAAACAAAGTATGACGTCTTGTAACAAGTGATTATCATGAACACAGAGGCCAATATCAAATGCTGTCCACATGTCCCAGCCAACAATACCCAATATAATCAAGAATGATCTTTGTTTGGAGAAGAAACATAAGTTGCTTCCACTACATACCTGTTCAATTGTTGCATACTTCAAGCAACAAGAGAATGAAACGTGTATGTATGCTATTCCACACGAAGACATACCGGTCATGTTGCCAGATGCAGCACCTATGAGTTTTTTTGTGTGTTCAGATTGTTGAAATGTGCATGAAAAAACAGTCGCCCTTGTACAGTAGATGGATTATAGAAATTATGTAGGGTGAAGTGCTGAACTTTAACATGACATTCTCATGACAGAGGTTTTGCAATTTGACTCCGGGGCAAGTGTATTATCAAGATGCATTGTTGTCAGATACAGCATGACCGGACGTGATGAGGGTTCAAAATTTTCTTAATATAGCGCAAACAACCTCTGTATTTGCATAAAAGCATACCAGTGATTTAAGTGGTAACATTACTTAGCAGCGTACTACTTAGATGAGCGATAATTTGTCTGGATATCTGCCAATTCGAGTTATGACATACTTGCTAAGAAACCTACCGTTAACATGAGTAACATTATGCTTTTGCTATGGAAGGTATATTCTTTGTTGAAAACATAAAGCTTAGAGGAATAAAATCTTTGTCTCGAAGCTTACCGTTGAGATAAGTAGCATTCTTGCCTCGTCTGTTATGGCGATTGTAAGTTTTGAAATGTCCAATCAATAGTTCAGGTGGACGGTCTTCTCTTAGTCTGGAAAAACAGAAGATATTTTATTTAATCTGAAAAGGTGACATTCTAGAGTTTTGCAGTATGCACTTCATACTGACATATTTAGTTTATAGCAACAAAGTACTAAGTTCAGTAATACATTAGCAACTTGACATTCTGTACTTTTACAGTTTATACCTCATAGTAACATGTTTAATACGAAAGAAAAAACTACCACGTTCAACGCAATATTGTCAGTAGAAACATGACAACGTGACATTCTACAGTTTTGCATTATATAACTCATACTAAAGTTATTAATACTAAACAACAAAGTTCCAAGCTGAGCACAGTAGTGGGATATTCTGTGTAGGGATGTGGAATTCTTCAATATTACAGGTTATGCTAACGAGTTCCGCACAGGACAACAAAGTACAGTATGAGATTAACTTTAGGAATTTGATATTATATAGTTTTGTAATACATAAATCACACTAGCATATTTACTACGAAGGAACAAAGAACCAAATTCAACACATACTATTGTATTCTGCGTAGGAATATGACACTGTATATACCTCGTACTAACGTTATAAGAAAGAATAAAATACCATATTGAACATGTTCTGTGTAAAAATGTACCATTGTATTATACTGCAGTATATATACCATACTAACGTGTTCAATGAAAAAAACAATGTATCAAGTTCAACACAGTACTATGATATCCTCTGTACGAATTGGACATTGCTGTATATAGCTTATACTAATATGTTAAATAGAAATCAACAAGGAACAAACTTCATACACATCTTATACTAATATGTTAAATAGTTTGTTCCTTGTTGATTTGTATTTAATATATTAGTATGATATGTGTATGAAGTTTGTTTCTTGTTGATTTGTATTTAACATATTAGTATGATATGTGTATACAGTTTGTTCCTTGTTGATTTGTATTTAACATATTAGTATGATATGTGTATACAGTTTGTTCCTTGTTGATTTGTATTTAATATATTAGTATGAAATGTGTATGAAGTTTGTTCCTTGTTGATTTCTGCATACACATATCATACTAATATATTAAATACAAATCAACAAGGAACAAATTTCATACACATATCATACTAGAAATTTGGAATTCTACAATGTTGTAATAACATGTTTAATAAGAAACAACAATGTACTGAGTTTAACAATTTACTATGATGGCTGGATTTACTATGATATTTTATGTGGAAATGTGGCATTCTAAAATTTTGCTGTATATAGCTCATAATAACATGTTTAACAAGAAACAGTAAAGTACCAAGTTCAGACAATATATCGGATAATATATCTCAAAAATATAGTTTTCAGATTGGTTATGTAAGAGCACTTAACGCTTGGTATCTCCAAGATCAATAACAAGTGTTCTGAAATTGGATAACTTTGTTAAATATAAAGTTTTAAGATTGACAACATTTTAGTCAAATAAGTTTCAATTACAGACTTTAGTAATTTATCGAGATTAAAGTATCAGCTGCATGACCTAACTACAAAAACCTGAGCGAACATTTACTGTTATGTAAGGAGAGAGTCGAGAAAAGCACCTGATCTAGAGTATGAACCAGGCCCAACTGAACCTGTCTGAGTTTGGATGAATTACCAAATAATTATAATTAGGTTATACTTTGTTATAGCAAGAAATGAAAATATACCTTTAAAGCATTTGTATTGTCTGAATGCTTTTTAAACATTAAATAAGTTCAAATAATGGACCTTAACTCAGAGCCTTTGTCTTAACCATGTATATCTTAACTTCTGTAAAGAGAATGCTGAATTCTACAAGCAAATATTTACAAATAGGAGTCTCACGCTAGACACTAAACAAGCTGACTGACTTAAGTAGTTGAATTACTTTTCCTGTCTTACTTACTATATAGTGGTCACAAAAATAAAAAGTGCTACACCCCCCCCCACTACACACACCGGTGGCTCAACCATAAATTTGAGGGGCTTATAACACTAGAATTCAGGGTTTGATTTCACGCGGTGGACACCACGTAGGTAGCCCATTGTCTAGCTTTGTGCTTGAAACAAAGAAGAATCAAGGAATAGGTGTCATGAAAAAATCTGAATTAATGGTAATTGTAAACAAAAAACTCAAAATAACGTTAATTTAGATTATTTACTCAAGTGTATTATTTGTTTTTAAATATTCCAAAATAATTTGTTTAATTACTGTTTTATATAGTATTTTCCACAACATTGAGCTACAATATGTAAAATTTACAATGATTTAAAAATTATATGTGATAAATTTAACAGAATATTAGAATAATTAGTACAACAAAAAATGCTACGTCAGTGGGAAAAACAGTTATATAAAATTTGATACAGAGACCATAACTAGAAAAAAACCCCAAAAAACATGACTACACATACTCGATCGCTTTAGTGTTCAGGATTATATTCAAACAGAACTACCTCTTGTGTTTTGCTCAGACGTTTTGTTTCATGGTGTTAAAATATTAACGTGTCATGTGTTTGGCTTATGATTATTGATAAGTACCTGTCAAATAAAGCTGGTCTGTTTTAGACACTTTTTGTATGATGTGTCGATTTATGTTTTGAATATATTCTTTGTTTGTGATAATTAATGTGTGATGCTCTTGAAAAAGTATATTATTTTACACTTTAATAAAAAAATTTAAATTCCAGTTCATCTACACGTAAGTTGATAATTTTTTCTTATGAAATGAAAAGTCAAAAAAGTCAACTTGTGGGGAAAGTGCAATAAAGAAATCTTATTAATTATTAAAGACATATGTGAGAAAATTGTAGAGTTTAATCAAAAACTAGGGTTACGTTAAGGTATTTTAAGTTATCCTTCTAAATGTGTACGAGATCAACAAAAATGTTAAGCAAATATAAATAGAAGCATTTTGTTGGTTTTTAAAAACAAAACAATATATATACACACACATACTTTATAAGGCCAGTTAAAATAAATTGACAGTTAATCTACCCTTCACGCCAGTATTTGAAACCGCCGCCCCAATAGAGGGCATTCCTTTATTTTCGAAATGTCTTAAACTAATTTATTATTATACTAACTGGAGTACCCTTATCATTGACGGAAGTTATGTAAATTCATGATTAATGAAAGTTTATCTTAAGACATGGAAAGTTGTTTCTCGTATATATATAATTGTAAAAAACGCAAAAAACCCTCATAAAAACTACAAAATACAAAATGTGAAAACCCAAGTTTGCATGTAACTCTGCATGGACCCAACAAACAGGTGAGGTAGTGGTTAAAAACGCAAAAACGCCCATAAAAACCGCAAAACGCAAAATGCAAAACTGAACATTTTTATGTACCCCTGCATGGACCTAATGAACCTCCATACCAATTTTGGCGAAAATTCATCCTTTACCTGCAAAGTAGTTACATAGACATACAACAGACAGTACTATTATATTTATATAGATATTCAACTCAATACCACCTTCAAGTACGAATCTATACTAAGTAAAAATACCTAAATATATTTTTACCTTCGCCAGAGATAAAAAGTAGTTTATAAATATTTTCAATCAAAATGACAAATACCAAATTAATGCAAAACTAAATTTCTCTAGCGTTTCTTTGTAACTTGTCTCTCGGTAGGTCAGCGATAAGTTTACGGAATTAAAACATTAAAATCCAGCGTTCAATTCCCCCCGGTGAACACAGAACAGAAAGTCCATTGAGTAGCTCTGCACTAAGAGAACAACAACTTATTCTTCATCGTGTGTATATGTTTTGTAGCATTGTTTGGGGTTGCACGCCTACTGTGTAGGAAAAAGGTCTCGCTTTCGCTTCACGGGGGGGGGGGGGTGGAAATATTCGTGAGCATTATAACACATTGTATATTTTAGCAAATGCCCATTAGTTACAGGTTGGCATTAGCAACAAGAGAATGTGGACATGACAGGGTGGTTAAATTCAACACCTTAAATGTTCACTCTTTTTTAGTGACTTTAATGCTTTAGGCATTTTGCAATCACGCATTCTAAACATCAAGAGGAAATTACCTGTTTTGAGCATTGAATTATTTAGTTAAATATTCTGTGTGGCGAAAGGTTAATGGCAACTCATCTGCAAACTGAATCGTGCAATGAAGAGACCACTGATAACATAAAGAATACACTGCCTAACAAAAAGATATCGGTAATTCGTTTCCATGTAAATTATATTATAATCGACGAAACACACTCTAGAAAATACAATTACTTGTTTGTTTAGGATATTCACTATAGCTACATAAGGGATATCTGCGCTAGCCTCCCTAAGTTTGAAGCGATAAATTAGAGGAAAGGCAACTAGTCAACAACACACACCGCCTGTTCTCGGGCTACTCTAATCGAATAGTAGGATTTGACCGTTACTCTTATAACAAACCCACTGCCCCGAGGTGCGAAGCGCGATTTTTATGCAGTAACGGGATGCGAACCAAGGATGAAGATCCACAACTTTACATATTAACCACGTAGCCACGCGTGGCCTTAATCGAACACTAATACTTCAAATTTCATATAAAACAAGACACATGCATTTAAAAAAAACAATTCTTTAAACTTCAAGGTTTGACCCACATCAGCACACACTCTTAAGCAATTTGTTCAGAATTAACTCGCATACGAAACATAAAGTTTGCTAAAATTTCCGTAATTTTGGTGTGATGTAACAAAATACCTAAGCTGGTTCTTCAAAAATAATATTGTACTTTAATAAAGGCAAAGTGGTTTGTGTTTAAATACTTAAAATTGTATCTCATTGAAGGAGTTGGCTACGTTTAAAATTATTGATTGGTAAATTAAATATTGATTTAAAGTGCTCATAGATTATACCCAGAAATGAATCTATCAGTTGTTTTTCTTGCGCATAGAAGCCGAACACTCACATTAAAAGTGAAGATATATATATGAAAGTCTACACCATTTGTCAGTAAATTAATAAGCGATAAATCACATAGCACGAAACATATCTAAGAAACGAAACCCCAAATCATTAAAAACCTCGAAAATTGCTGCGCAAAGCTAATATAGAAGTCCAATTAAGACTTCAAACCAAATTCCTCGTTACACCAGTGAGTAGTATAGTGGAAGTAATAGTGAGGCTCCAACTTCATAGGTTAAAAAGTCTTTGGTGAACATTAGAGAAATCTGAGCCTGATGTACGGACGGAAATCTCGTAGCTTTACACTTTATAAGTAACCAAGGAAGACTTGCTAAATTTACACGATTTCTGGATGATCTGTCTTTCCAGTTTCGAGTAATTAAGCTAGGTTGACACATAGTAGCGTTGTTAAGACCTTTTTAACCAATCAGAGGCCTTCTTCTTACCACTTTGACAGCCAAATGATTAATGTTCTTTGGAACTTAAATTTGCTTTTTGTTGTTGAGCCGTAATCCATCATCTGCCAGAATACATTAACTGAGAATTGAGAAAAAGTAACTTAAAATGTTGGTGAAGAAGCACCATTATGGCAGAGTTTCAAGTATCTACTTGCCGACTCTTCTTTTGCTAGCTGTTACCAAGAGTTAGTTCTACAGTCTTTACATGCTAGGCATTACGAAGTTTCATTTTATTAGATTAATGATCGGTATGACCAATAATGTCTCCCTGAATTTCGCCTGTATGCGTCATATTAAGTATTTTGAAGAGTTCGTTCCAATAATTATCACAGTGAGACTGATACGATTAATGGGTATTGAATTCCAAACGTCAAAGAGGCACTGCTGTTGGTTATCGTTTTGTAATCGTGAGACTGCCACTCGTGATAGATACTGTACTCTAACAGTAAAACTAACACTGTTGATGGTTATTGTGATATAAACTTGAAACTATTACTGTTGAGGGCTGTGTTCTTTCTGCGAAACTATTGCTGCTGGTAGTTATTGTATTCTTATTGTGAAACTAGTGCTCTACTGCTAGTAGTTATTGTGTTCTTATTGTGAAACTAGTGCTCTACTGCTAGTAGTTATTGTGTTCTTAATGTGAAACTAGTGCTCTACTGCTAGTAGTTATTGTGTTCTTAATGTGAAACTAGTGCTCTACTGCTAGTAGTTATTGTATTCTTATTGTGAAACTAGTGCTCTACTGCTAGTAGTTATTGTGTTCTTAATGTTAAATTATTGTTGCCGGAAATTATTGTGTTTTACTGTGATTATTGAGTTAAATAATTGCTGCTGGTAATTATTGTGTGCTTAGTGTGAAACTGGTCACCATGTATTCTAACGTTGAAACAATCACTGCTAGTGATTATTGTGTTAAATAATTGCTGCTGGTAATTATAATTACCAGCAGCAATTATTTAACACAATAATCACTAGCAGTGATTGTTTCAACGTTAGAATACATGGTGACCAGTTTCACACTAAGCACACAATTGTGTGCTTAGTGTGAAACTGGTCACCATGTATTCTAACGTTGAAACAATCACTGCTAGTGATTATTGTGTTAAATAATTATTTCTGGTAATCATTGTGTGCTTAGTGTGAAACTGGTCACCATGTATTCTAACGTTGAAACAATCACTGCTAGTTATTATTGTGTTAAATAATTATTTCTGGTAATCATTGTGCTCTTAGTGTGAAACTGGTCACCATGTATTCTAACGTTGAAACAATCACTGCTAGTTATTATTGTGTTAAATAATTATTTCTGGTAATCATTGTGCTCTTAGTGTGAAACTATCACTGCTGGTGGTTATTGTGTCATTACTGTGAAGCTGATACTGTTGGTAGTTTTTGTGTTGTAGTATTGAAACTGACATTCCTAAGATTTATCTTTCCTTTCCTAGAAACCGACTGTCGGTTTATGTTTTCTAATTCTGACAGTTATGTTGCTGGTAATTGAGGTGACAAAACCATATGAATCTGACAGTAATGACAGCTATTGTTTATTAACTGTGAGCCAGTAGCAGACTCTGCTATTGGTTTGTGGACCCCAACCACAATGGCCGAAACACTAGCACTTGTTATGATTTCAACATATTTTATTTTGGGAGATATTTCAACATATTTATCATCATGTTATAAAGGGAATGGTCATAGTACATTTTATGAGTATTTTACGTATGAAAGTTTACATTGTACTCTAACGACTCTACCTTGCATTCTACAAACCTACTGTGAAAAAAAGTTACAGGCTATAATACAGTGGGGTCTGGGGACTTATGGTGAAAGTAATAACACTCTATACTTTCTAAACATAGGTAGGAGAAAACAAATTGGTTAACTAAAGGTATTAAAGCCTCCCCCCCCCCCCAATTAAGGTTGTTGAATTGGTGTGTGAGTTATCTGTAATTGTCAATTCGTCTTAACACAGCATGACTCAAGATGACAAAGATATTACAGCGCTGTCTTCAAGTTGTTCCCTGCCTAGGGTGTTAGCTTGTCTCCCGTTATTGAACACAGCGCCCCTAGCAGCGTGACGAACAGAAGACCGAAACGCGAGTAAAAGTACTGAATTAAAAATGGTTTCGTGAGCCGAACTCAATTATTTTAAAGCGTTGACGCTCTCAAGTGTTTCACGTGTGTATTTGATGGCTAGACAGAACAACAACGCAGAAAATCAATAGACTATTTAAACCAGAGTGGTACTACAAAATAATTAACGAAAATCTATAATGATATCCAATGAAGATTTGTGAATTAACTAAAAAGGTTACTAAAATGTTAATTATCAACCTCACGTAAATTTTAAAAGATGGAGACATTACCCGTTCGTATTAAACCAGACACACTTGCACATCATGACGAACACATTAACCATTCAAAATTAAAACAGAAAGATTTTAAATATAATCGCGAACACATTAAAAATGTTTTTTTTTATGTTTCTCTTTTCAACATAATATTTTTATTACTCTTATTTTTCTTACTCAGTTATTCTGTAGAAAACTGATTGGGATACGCTTTGCTGCCTAATCAGTTTGTTTTAATTAATTGCTTTAGACTTTCAGAAGTAAAACTTAAAGCTTAATTAATCCGAAGTAACCAGAAAACTCCAGTCAAACGTTACATGTCTGTAGTGCAAAATCAAAAATGTATGCACGCGTTTTTTAACTACTTGTAAATATATCTTAAACTAAACTAAGTGGAAGTTTGTATAATGGAAGACACGCAGTTGAAAACATCTACAGAAGATATACCTATTGAAGGAGTTGATATCTTGTCTATTTCTATCTTTACTTCCCGAAGCATCATTTCGATGTTCTTGACTATGCGAATTACTGGAAATTGATACATTGGAAGCAAACAAACTGGAATGTGAAACTTGTGCCATGAAAGAGAAAGGGTTTAGATGGGAAGCCACTCCGTTAGCTGCTGCCACTGCCGCTTGCGCTGCTATGTGGTGGTTATAGTTGTTCTGATGCATTATCGGCTTGTCTCTGTGGTTTCCTAAAGAAATAATTAGAAGATAAATAATCACGGAACATAAGAATAAATTATGATAAATAATCACGGAACATAATAATAAATGATGATAAATAATCACGGAACATAATAATGAATTATGATAAATAATCACGGAACATAATAATAAATTATGATAAACAATCACGGAACATAATAATAAATTATGATAAATAATTACGGAACATAACAATAAATTATGACAAACAATCACGGAACATAATAATAAATTATGATAAATAATCACGGAACATAACAATAAATTATGATAAATAATCACGGAACATAACAATAAATTATGAACTTTTTTCATTCTTCAAGAAGGAACTTCCAAGAATTTTTCAAATGCATTTCTTCCCTACATCCTCTCTAAGAGATTGAAGTTACAGTACCATCTGTCTGATTGTGTGATGTAACATTCAGTAAATACGTGTGCTCAGTAAGATCGTAGTTAACAAAATGTTCTGTGAGCTGAGGTAAAGAAAAACACTATCTATACCATCCTAACTGCCAAATATGTTGGAACTAATAATATATGTGTGATACATTTAAGAAAACCAAAAAAACATGTTTCTTATATATTTGAATAAAACAATGCATAATAAACTGTAGAACAAATATAGTATTATCAACATTATTTATCGGTTAAATTTCAGAACTAAGTCACATGAAAATTACAACATCTCTTTTAGATATTTACAAAACAATTCATTTGTACCCTATTAGACCAAAGTTAAAAAAATACCACTTGTCATTTATTTTTTAAAGTTGCTATTTAATAAACATGTATATTAACGAATCTCATTTCTAGTATCTCCTTAAAAGAAGATCTACACTTACTGACGTTTCGGTCACCATCATAAGCATCTTCTATTCGCCCCTTTTTAAGTCCCGTTGTTGAATTGTTCGACAAACCAACCATTGATGTCCGTTTTGGCGGTCTTCCTGGCCTGCAACTGGACAGTAAGAACCCCGTTACGTCAAAAAACAGAGGATGTTGTAACCTGAACCTTAGGGTAATATCATCAAAACATATCAATTAACAAAACAGTTTTGCTGAACAAAGTAACTACGACTAGGAGCAATTAGATTGATATTTTACAATAATATTATGTTTCAAGAAAGCTATATATATCGTATTTCAACCCGAACACCACCTTATACGACAAAGACACCAAGGTTCAGGGATAGCCTAGGTTTGATATGCTTATCGGAGGGAGAACAAACAGTCACCAGTACCCTCCGCCCACATAGCTACTATTAACCGGATAGCGGAATTGACTATAATTTTTATGATACGGCGAAAGTGCGGAGCGCGTTCAGAGACATGTCGCGAGCTCGACACTTGGACCTTCTGTCCGCAGTCCGGTATCCTGACCAGTAGACCAGGAGTCATGAGTAAATGTGTGAAATAAAAAAAGTTGTTCGTGATATTGTTCCTTGTCGTCTTGGCGTCATTTCCTGTTGTCATTACATGTAATCCAAATTTAAGACCTTTTCAACTGCCCGCATAAGAGTATTAGTCAATTTTACTTACTAATCAATTCTAATTTCTCTATGAGAAATATTCGTTTGAAAAACAAATTATTAAAAAGTATTGTAGTCTAGAAACCGTGTATTTGTAGATACAATTCATCTAGTAAAACAAATACGGCATCAATTGTTCTTACATTTATCATCACTGGATTTCTGTAATCAACGTTTGGCATGTCACTTAAATAAAAGGTTCCAATTTGGAGCTTAGGTCAGATGGTATTATTTCCAAATTAAATAAAACGGAGACGATTTCTGAAAACATATTTCCACATGTTAAAATTCAGCAATCTGTAAGAAAACGTTCACAGACCGCGGAGGAATTTAATTACCTTCATCTTTTCAGCCTTCACAGCGAAAATAGCTTTATCTAAGCGAACGATGATTAACTATAAAGGACAGAAACAGTATATCATTTGAATTTGTAGTACATGTTAATACTATGTATCTGTATACAGAAAGTGGCCTGGCATGACCCGATAGTTTAGGGCGCTCGTCTCGCAATCTGTGTGTCGTGGGTTCGAATCCCGTCACTGAACATTCTCGCCCTTTCAGCCGTGGAGGTGTTATAATGTGACAGTATTACGGTTTCGAATGGTCTGAAACCGAGGTAAATGATACTTTAAAGTTAGTAGTTAAATTGTACTTTGGATTTATCAGTTAAGTAAAAGCCGATATATAGTCAGTTTATGATATTTGCCAACAAGATTGAAACACACAGTTTTCTTTTTTAACGCAAATATGTTTAATATACAAACAACAATAAAATTTACAATAACACTTTTTACAAATAGTTATTACAAACAATGATTTATGTATAAAAGTTTCACAAACTTACAAGCAATACAAAGTCTTCTCTCTAGTCTGGAAAGTCCTTGATATCTTATCGAGGGTTGACTATGAGCAAGTAATTACGAGTTGATGTAGCTACGATTCGCTTAACGGGGAGCTAGCTAGCTTTGTCCTTTGTTATTCACCAGCCACACACGCCGAGTTTTCCACAATGAAGTTATATAATGTTTTCGTAAAAATACTAATGTCCGATGAGAATCCACTGAAGTTAAGTAATTTGTAATGTTCAAACTTCGTAAATGCTCCTGGTCAAATATCTGAAGTTCCCGATTGATAAGCGTTATAACAATCACGGTTTTAATTTTCGAAGTTTATCACACACTGACTATAGCAAACTAATAATAGATACTTTCTTTTTTGGCGCGTCGCGTTGGTTATATTTATAGGCGTGTGGATTGTTTCTAAAAAATTCAGATTAAGTAACAATACAAAGCTACATTAAACGTTTACGTACATACATATATTGTTGATTCTTACACTCGAGAATCTTTTACAACTTTAGAGAACAGGCAGGAGTTTCGCAATACATATATAACTGTATAAGTTATGTACACTTGTAAATATAAATTTAACTCAAGAAAACATCGATATTAAAATAAATATATACTAAAAAATCCGTCACACAGCCAATCCCACTTTTCGTTGGTAAATAATAATAATAACAGTATCCCTAGAGTTGGGGTGGGTGGTACCGACCAGCTGACTTCCCTCTAGTTTAACACTTCTAAATTAGGGATTGCTAGCGCAGATAGCTTTCGAGCATGAAAAAAACTATATTCCATAATAATACTGGATCTTCCACACACAAAAATCTCTCGTTGGGTCTGTGCTGCATTTATTGACTTTCAAGCGTAAATCAGAAGTTAGATTTCCCATAGTTAGCGAATAGCTAACTATGCAGCTTTGCGTTAAAAAAACGCAACAGCAATGACAAAAATAGATTTTTAAAACTGAGAAAGTTTCTTGACATCTCAGTGAAATCAACGAATCGTGTGACAACCAGTTTATGTTTACGAACTTAGGAAATGGTTACACGTAAAGTTGTACTGTATGCTGTATCGTTAAAGTGCAGGTTTTAGTGTTGTTCAGATCTCAGTGTGAGTTAGAGTACTCATACTTAGTGGGAGGAAAACACGTGAATTTAATCAGCCCACGTTCACTGTTGCGTATTGAGACCTTTTGGTACCATAACTGAAAGTAAACGGAACAGGTCAGCGTGAAACACACTTCATCAACTTGAAAACTGTTACACGTCTCAATTCTGGGGATCCCACAGAGAAATCTTAGTGGTGCTGAAGAGAATACCTGCCAATTTTAATTAAGTGGGGAACGGACACAAAAGACATACAAAATATGTTAGGGTTCGGATTACGTAAGTACAACGAGAGCTAAATTAAGACTCTCAACAAATGATGTAAATAAAACAAAATCAATTTATTCTGTTCCGTTCCTTACGATACTGCCAATTTTAAAAGCTAATTATTTCAACACTAATGTGTTTTTATGACACTTCTTCTTTTGTACAATTGATTCTAAACTAATGTTTTTGAACTGTATAGCCAATCTTAGCAAGCTGCCTCCCAATGGCTCATAGGTGAGTCTGGAAGCTTATAACGCTAAAAACTCGGTTTCGATACACGTGGTGGGCACAGCATAGGTAGCCTATTGTTTAACTTTGCGCTTAACAACAAACAAACAAACTTAGGCTAAAGTATCTGCATGGTAAGAATATAAGCTCAACAATGAATCAAGCCTTGTCTCAGTTTTTATTTCTTCAGAAAGATTCTATATTACTAATCTGAATAACAGATTGTAATAAAAGTAACGTTCACGAACATCATAAACTATTTCGCGATTAAAAGTAACTTTCTAGAACTATATAATGAACCGTAAATAAGATATACACTAATGTACTGTAAATATACTGTTAATCTCTCGTTGTCCTGGTTATTAGATTATGTATTTCCGGTTTTCATTTTGATCTAAATTTCTGGAACTATCTTTTATCAATCTGTAATGTCATTTTATTGTTAATCCAACAACTTTGAACAATATTGTCAGTCTTGTCACATGGTTTATAAAATAAATATTATTTGGCTACATTATATCAATTCCTAGTATATTTACTTTTGGGGAATAATGTTCTTGAAAAATAATTAATGCTATTACAATTTCTTCTGGTACTAACGTTCTTCAATAAAGTTCTTAGTCCTTTATCAGTTTACTCTGGAATTTTACAGCTAATTTTTTGTTCACTTATATTCTAAAACGATATTGTTCATTGACAGAGTATTCCTATACTAGTGTTCTCAATTAAGGTTGTCCGACTTTGTGCTAGCGGCAGTCTCAGGGGTCGGACAGTAGTTATCAATGAAAATAAATAGTATTGGGGCCAAGTGTAGCCTAATGATTAGCGTGCCTGGACTGTAAATCTAATGTTTCCTGATTCGCATCCCGTTATCGCACTCTGCACTTGGTCCACTCCCACAATTACGTCGATTAAGAGTAGCTCAAGAGTTGTCGGTGGGAACAGTTGACAAGGTTCCATCCTTCTGGCCTGTCAGTTTAAATTTAAGGATGGCTTTTCCCTGATAGCCCTTTGTGTAGGTTGTCGCGAAAACTCTTAAACAAACGAACAATATTTATTTGAGTTTATTGTACATTAAACGCCAGAGCAAAACAGTAATAGGTAAAAGAAAAAAAACAACATTAAGAATGAGGCATCAGACTTAAAAGCACTAAAAATAAGCTATATTTTTAGCCTAACTTTTGTTATTTATTTCGAATGTTTGCCTGGTGTTTGGCAGGCACGATATGACTCGTGAGCTGTAAGCTGGGAAATCCAGTTCAAGACAACTACTTGCCACTTATAAGTGCAGTTAATCTTTTTTTTAAATTAATAATTATTTTTAAAAAACTTTCATTTTGAATTAAATATTCTTATAATGTCATGGATCTTAATGGCGGAACTATTACATTTCATTCTTGATGAGTTGTTTTAGGGCAGAGCCACATTGAGCCATGTGCTCTGTCCACCACGATGAATCGAACCCCGGATTTTAGCGTTTTAAGTCCCTGAACTGACCATTGTCACACCTGGGGACCCCTTGATGAGTTAAAATCCACACATGTTTGAAAAAATATTATTTACTTTCTTAGATTCTTAAAAGCAAGTTTATTTTTATATTCATACTTTTCAACTACAGTTCACAATGTTGTGGATGATAACTGAGTAAGATTTTTTCAAATAAAGACAAAGATCTTAATAGATTTGACTTTCCAGTGGCTCAGCGGTAAAGTTTTTGATCTATCTTCATTATTCCCAGTACAGAGATCGAACTTCGAATTTTAGCGTTATAAGCCGTCAAAAACTCAAGATTTGACAACTGATGAGGCTGCAGTGAAAGCTGCCTGCAAGTGCTTGGAGATGTCTGGGCAATGTTCTCATACACCTTGTTGTATCACTTCTGAGAAAAGATAATTATGGCGTCTGTCTTTACGATAGCATTTTGTTCTAAAAGTAGAATTATTGAACGATATTGTCAGTTGAAGTACAGTTAATTCTAAAAATAGTAATGCTATTTAACAATATTGTCAGTTGAAACTAAAATCTATATATATTCTT